TTTTAACAGAAAAAAAGAGCTTATCAACAGTTTTTTATCAAATACTGCAGCACTTTATTATCAATTTCAGCACTTGTATCTGTTTGACTAGAAAATTATCAAATACTTTCCGAGCAAATCAATCGAAAAATATGAAGGGGTAAATCCTAGTTAAGAATAATTAACTCTAGATCCGAGATGAATAATACGAATTAAAAGATATAGTCAAACATAAATGTTGACGGCGATTATGACCAGATCTAATGGCATAAAGAAAGATGCATTAAATAACAAAGATATGAGTAAAGGAAAAGGTTAACCCGATCTTCGGTGAGACGGATCTTCTTTCTTTTCATAAAGATGAATGATAGACAAATACAAGAACCTCATGACCCCTTTTTGGATATGATGAAGGTATTGAATCACATATCCTCTCATTTCTCTTGAGAGGTGTGTTTACATATTTTCTAGAAAGAGAGAGAGGGAGAGGGAGAGAACCCCCTTTTTGGAAAGTCCTCCCATCCTATTTATAAGGGAGGTATCCATAGAAAATCCTAAAAAAAGGTATAATTTACAGGGAATATTCGGTAGAATATTCCTTTTTAGTTTTCCAAAGCAAACTAGATGTTTGATGACGGTCCGACCACGACCATTGATGACGGTCCGACCTTGGCCTGTCCGACCACGACCATTGATGACGGTCCGACCTTGGCCTATCCGACCACGACCATTGATGACGGTCCGTCCTTGGCCAGTCCGACCACGACCATTGATGACGGTCCGACCTTGACCTGTCCGACCACGACCATTGATGACGGTCCGACCTTGGCCTGTCCGACCACGACCATTGATGGCGGTCCGACCTTGGCCGGTCCGACCACGACCATTGATGACGGTCCGACCTTGGCCTGTCCGACCACGACCACGACCTCGTGCCGAATTTCTCTGATCTAATTTTGACCCATACAGTTAGTCCCTCCGCTTATCGAGGTCGTCTTTTGGTCGAGCTCGGTGAGCGGACTTCATTAATCGTGGTTCGAAAAATTCGGATGGAGAGGTTGACTGGTGTGGATCGCGGCTGAGGGTGCCGTTCTTCGGGTCAAAAGTGGTATCCTCGCATACTTATCCAACACCAGAGATGGCAGTTGCAGCATATGATGTTGCTGCTTTGGCATTAAAAGGTCCTGATATTGAACTTCCCGGACTCAATGTGTTCGTATACAATGCCAGCTCCCCTAACAGCAGCAGGCATACGCGCCACAGCTGAAGTTGGAGATGAAGGAGCAACGGGGCAAGAGTTTTTGATGAAGAGGAAGTTTTTGGCATGCCAAGATTGTTGGTTGACATGGCAGAGGTAATGCTTATGAGCCTCCTAGGATGAGGACGTCGCATTACAATGAGTTTCCTGAACATTTTGATGCATCATATACTCTCTGGAGTTACCCTTAATTATCAATAATCAAACATGTAACATGCATTAGCTTAAAGAAAAGGTATCAATAATTAAGGCACTTTCTTGGTGCGCCATGTACATCAGTTGAATAGTGTGACCACTAAAATTATATAGGTGCGGTTGTGTCATGGACTCAAATTGTAGACGAGATCAGAATTTGTCTCACTCTGATTTTCTTGTATTCCTAATATAATTCAGATACTGGCTCGGACGAGGCCGAAATGTTAATCCGTTATAATTCGAGCGAGGTCGAATTTTTCTTTTTGGCGATGGCCTTTGGCCGTAGGGGTGTTATTTCGAGCTAAGACCGAAATGTTAACCCGTTGTGATTCGAGCGAGGTCGAATTCTTCTTTTTGGCGATGGCCCTTGGCCTTAAAGGGTGTTATTTCGACTTATCGAAATGTTAACCCGTCGTCATTTGATCGATGTCGAATTCTTCTTTTTTGGCGAAGGCCTTTGGCCTTAATGGGTGTTATTTTGACTTATCGAAATGTTAACCCGTCGTCGTTCGATCAAGGTCGAACTCTTCTTCTTTGGCGAAGGCCCTTGGCCTTAATGGGTGTTATTTCGACTTATCGAAATGTTAACCCGTCGTCATTCGATCGATGTCGAATTCTTCTTTTTTGGCGAAGGCCCTTGGCCTTAATGGGTGTCATTTCGACTTATCGAAATTTTAACCCGTCGTCATTCGATCGATGTCGAATTCTTCTTTTTTGGCGAAGGCCCTTGGCCTTAAAGGGCGTTATTTCGACTTATCGAAATGTTAACCCATTGTAATTCGAGCGGGGTCAAATTCTTTTTGGCGAAGGCCCTTGGCTTTAAAGGGTGTTATTTCGACTTATCGAAATGTTAACCCGTCGTCATTCGATCGATGTCAAATTCTTCTTTTTTGGCGAAGGCCCTTAGCCTTTAACTCGATTTAAGCGAGGTCAAACTTTGTTATACTTTGATGGCAAAGGCACTTAGCCTGAGTCCCAGTTCGAACGAGGTCGAACTTATCAAACTTTGATGGCGAAGGCACTTAGCCTTTATCCCAGTTCGAACGAGGTCGAACTTGTCAAACTTTGATGGCGAAGGCACTTAGCCTTTATCCCAGTTCGAATGAGGTCGAACTTATCAAACTTTGATGGCGAAGGCACTTAGCCTGAGTCCCGGTTCGAACGAGGTCGAACTTATCAAACTTTGATGGCGAAGGCACTTAGCCTTTATCGCAGTTTGAACGAGGTCGAACTTATCAAATTTTGATGGCGAAGGCACTTAGCCTGAGTCCCAGTTTACTTAATTTTGCTTGCATTTGGAGAGTATGATGTATTTCCTGGGGGAGTCCCCGTTTGCTTAATTTTGCTTGTATCGAAGAATGTGATGTATTTCCTGGGGGAGTCCCAGTTTGCTTAATTTTGCTTGTATTGGGGAATACAATGTATTTTCTGGGAGATTGCTCCTGCTTCTATTCCACTTAGAGAAATAGTCAGTTAAAACAAAATAAAAGCGTTCGTTACCTCGATTTGATCGGTCTACGAATGGAGAGGAGTGACCTTATTCCCTTTTCCGGTTATGCTTTCAGTAACCGCTACCTATTTTGGCGTGGCTGTCCGCTTTAGTAAAGTTTTTTTTTTGTTGTACAGATAGCATATTATATGATAGAGGAACGGTTGGGGAAGAAGAGGGCACCAGATGACTATATCTCCTACTCTTTATGGACTTAAATTCCCATATAAAGATGATCCACTCAGTGGGGGACACGAGAATCACGCGCTTTGCTTTTGGCGTCAGTGGCGGAGAAGACGGTATAGACAAGGACGAAAGTGCCAATAATCTCAGCACCCAATGCTATGCCGGTCGAGTAGCCAACTGCAACGGTATTAGCACCACCGCCATACGTGTTATAGTCATGCTTCATGAACCTTTTCACTAAGCCAATGCCGCAAATGGCTCCTAAGCACTGCGCCACCATGTACGCCACTGCTCACAGTAATGAAACCTTCATGTAGTAATCAGTAGCAAGAAGTGGAATAATGCAAGACGAAGAAGAATATCTGATTCCTCTTCTGACATGATCAATATAACTCAATCTTGTTTTCTTCCACTTAGTATTTCTCCTCTCTGTACTTTCTTTTTTGTGTCACAGAGTTGACAGATGAATTCTTGTTATGTCAGGGGTTTAGAAATTTGTGTAAAAAATAATTTTTAAGGGTTTTGGTAGTTCAGAGACAATATCTAAGGGAGGAGGAATAAACATAGGGAAAATGTAGTTGAATTTCAGAGGGCCCGCAGATGGACCAAACCAAACTTTTTAAGACAAATGCACGTACGCTAGAATAATTTAATACTATTGCTTTTCTAGTAGTTTAGTGTTTTGATTATTAAATTTCAAAAGGGTGTGTTTATTGTCATGAATTTTGATAGTGGTCATGTATTACATGTTGACTTATCTTGTTATTCTAGTAATAAACAGGGGTGCCCTTTACAGATCAGTCTCACAAATTGAGGACGATAAGTTTAAAAATGAGCAGGATAGAGGAAACGTAACCTTGATCAATTTTAAAGATCTAGAGAAAACTAGAACTTTAACTAGAAAATCCTTACAGACGGCGCCAAATTGTTTGACTAGAAAATTATCAAATACTTTCCGAGCAAATCAATCGAAAAATATGAAGGGGTAAATCCTAGTTAAGAATAATTAACTCTAGATCCGAGATGAATAATACGAATTAAAAGACATAGTCGAACATAAATGTTGACGGCGATTATGACCAGATCTAATGGCATAAAGAAAGATGCATTAAATAACAAAGATATGAGTAACGGAAAAGGTTCACCCGATCTTCGGTGAGACGGATCTTCTTTCTTTTCATAAAGATGAATGATAGACAAGTACAAGAACCTCATGACCCTTTTTGGATCTGATGAAGGTATTGGATCACATATCCTCTCATTTCTCTTGAGATGTGTGTTTACATATTTTCTAGAAAGAGGGAGAGGGAGAAGGAGAGAGCCCCCCTTTTTAGGGAAGTCCTCCCCTCCTATTTATAAGGGGGTATCCATAGAAAATCCTAAAAAAAAGGTATAATTTACAGGGAATATTCGGTAGAATATTCCTTTTGAGTTTTCCAAAGCGAACTAGATGTTTGATGACGGTCCGACCACGACCATTGATGACGGTCCGACCTTGGCCTATCCGACCACGACCATTGATGACGGTCCGTCCTTGGCCAGTCCGACCACGACCATTAATGACGGTCCGACCTTGGCCTGTCCGACCACGACCATTGATGACGGTCTTACCTTGGCCTGTCCGACCACGACCATTGATGACGGTCCGACCTTGGCCTGTCCGACAACGACCACGACCTCGTGCCGAATTTCTCTGATCTAATTTTGACCCATACAGTATCCAAACACATAACTGCTTATTTACTAAATTAGTTTCAACACTTAAAAATACTTTTCAGCACCTAAAACTTATGAGCTACTTTAAATTAGCTAATCCAAACGGGCTCTAAATTTCGTTAATGAACTTATCTATTTTGACTAGTTAACAGTGCCGGTGTGGGAGTGAGGGTGGGGTGGGGGTGCCATTGACAGCAAATGGAGAAATTACAGTGGCATTCTTATCACCTAACGAAGGAACGACCGAATTGACTTTTCAACTTTCAATGACTACAACAGTGAAGAAAAGCGGCCTTTCCAGTCTCGGAGCAATGGCGAAAAAAAGACGCTTGGGAACGACGATCTTCATGCTCCTCTTAGCTCTCTTAGCTTTCGGATCTTTCGCACCTGCCTTTGCTCCTCTTCCTTCTTTCTCTTCTTCTCATTCCGACCTCGCAACACTTAACTCTGTGGTACGAATTTGAAATTTTATGTTTTTTAATACCTAATTCAAGCTTTTTAAGAAAAAGTTGCACTTAATTTGAGTATTCAGTGTAACGGTAGGTTAAGGATCAGCATAAAAATAGTCTCATTATGATGAATTTCATAGAGTAGAATAAAATACAAGGTTTATACGGATTAGTTTGTGATTAGAGGTGTAGCTGATTGATTAATTGCACTTACTTCGTATATTTTCATTCAGAAGTTGCTTGATTCTTAAATTGGCAGGGAAATGAGAGAAAATTTGAGATTGCGGATGACATGTTCTGGAAAGATGGAAAGCCTTTTCAGATTATAGGCGGCGATGTCCACTACTTTCGGGTTCTTCCAGAGGTACTTTAGTCCATGGGTTTCCTATGGATAACTGAATACTTCTGATCATAGTATATAATCTTGTTCAAAGACACGCAAAAACACACACAGTAAGGGTGCTCCTTTAAAGTGAAGCAAACTTGTTTGATAGATAACTTCATATGCTCTTTGATGAACTCTTTGTTAGGAAAATGATGATTAAAAGGTAACACTAGTGCTTAAGTAATCAGTCTAGCATAAAAACTTTCATTTGGTGCAGATTCTGCATACATCATATCGATGTCATGCATACAGAATTTCTCCTACGTGAAATTTACAAGGAATTTTGGTTTTTCATTTAACTGTTCTTTGAAATCCGTTATAGTGTTGTACAAGTTACCTGTAAAATCATCATAAATGCATTTTTGAGTTGTTTCTGTCAAACACTTCAAAACAAGTTAGTGATAGTTCACTTGCACACATTAAGTTGAAAGTCAAACTTTCACTTTTAAGTCCTTCAAGGAGTGGTGAAGGCAGACATTTCTTTTTTGTTTTTGATTTGTTTCTTTTTCTGTAAACGGAGTTATTTTCTTCTTATGTTGTTTGGTAATACCAATTTGAATTGAGGTATTGATATATCAATACTCGCTTTAGTATTGGGAAGATAGACTGCTGAGAGCGAAGGCATTGGGCTTGAATACCATTCAAATATATGTCCCATGGAATTTGCATGAACCAAGAGAAGGCCAACTGGTTTTTGAAGGAATCGCAGATATTTTTTCTTTTCTTAATCTTTGTCAGAAATTGGATCTCCTGGTGATGCTTCGAGTTGGGCCTTATATTTGTGCAGGTCAGACATGAGCTTTCTCTTGTACAACGTCGCAGATTTCTAGTCATTACTCATTCGTGAAGTATAATTTTCCTCAAGTTCAGTCCTCCTTCAATTGATTTTATAAAATCTCAATTGTAACTAATTGAATTGCACGTGTGAAATGTTGGAGGAAGGACCAAGATCCATGAAGTTCATCGGGAAAAATGAACTTCTCCTTTGACTAAGAGTGAATATATAAGGAAATCTAATAAATTCATAGAATGTCTCATTATTTTTAGTACTTACTTCCAAATTTGCTTATGCATCAAGGAAGTGTAAAATCTTCTCTATTTACTGCTGCAGCAGGTCTAGGGAGTTCTATCTACCATTTTCTATCTAATTGCGCAGGAAAAAACGTAAAAATTATGGTGCAGCAAGTCCAACATATATTGCAATTATAGCTATGTGTGGCTCAAAGAGTATTCTGACCAAGTAGCAATATTGTTTAGTACGTCTATCTTTACAACTTGAAAAAACCAAAACCTGGATGGACAAGAAAACGAAAGGATGAACTCTAGATCACCCGGAAAGGATTCTCTAATCCGTCAAAGGGCCTCCAATTTCTTCAATTCATATAGACCTTAAAAGGCATTAAGTTTAGATTCCTTGTAGAAGACTAAGGAGTAGGAGTATCTGTTGTTACATTCCATATTGTAAATATGGGGGACTTCATATCTTTTGTGCAGTCTATATTTTAATATATAAATATGTTACAACAACAACAACAACAACAATAACAAACCCAGTTTGATCCCATAAATGGGGCCTGGGGAGGGTAGTGTGTACGCAGACCTTACACCTACCTCATAGAGATAGACTGATAGAGAGGCTGTTTCCGATAGACCCTTAGCTCAAGGAACAGTGAATATATAAATATGTTACCTTCTCAAAAAAAAAAAGGCATTAAGATAGTTCTCCTTTGTATCGGTGCACATGAAAAACCATATCCTACCTGCTTCACAAGGGCCAGAACAACAAAATTAGTAAATGAAACCTCCTTTTATTGTAGAAACAAGAACAGCTAATCTGAGCATCATTGAAGCTGAATTTCCATATGCGTCAAACCAAAAGGAAATACGAGTTCCATTACCATCTTGATGCTGATGAACTTTGAAAAGATGAATATTCAAGATCGATTCTGGAGTTTTGTTCTGTAAAGAACCCTTTTATAGCCTCCACTACTTCCATCTTCCACAAATTCCATGGGACCTGTCGCATCAATCTGATTTACTAGAGGGACACAGGCAGCCAACACTTTCTGAAGCTATTGCCACTATTACATCTAGTGTTCAAAGGTAAGTATATTGGTTAAGGATGTCCATCAGTTTCCAGAAGAACGTTTTCAGGAAATGCTCTCTCAAGATCTGTTCATACTGAAACCCTTTCAATGCCAGGGCAACCATGGTTTACTCCAGCAGGACCTAATTTACTCTACAAGTGGATTGACCAAGCGTCTTTCCTTTTATTAGTTATCACTAGCATCTCTACTGTACTTTCAAAGTCAAGATTTTGCATTTTTTCATGTATAAATTTCAGCTCCATTTGTACTTATATGAATATGCTAGGGAATGATTGAATTTTACCGTTTTATGTTGTCCATCTTTTGCTGTATAAGCTTATCAGCAAATGTTCTGGAAATGTTTATTGACGTTTTCTTTACTTCTTGCTGCAGAATGGGATTTTGGGGGTTTCCCTGCTTGGTTACTTGCCATTGAACCTGCTGTAAGACTTAGATCGTCAGATCCTGCTTTCATTGACTTGGTATGTATTCCAATTGTTCTAGTTACTTATGGTTTTCTTTGTGGTCATAAATGCTGCACAAGACCTAGAACATCCCACATCCACAAGTCAGTTGCTGACCAGATTAAGCTTACATAGGAGTTCACAATCTTTTTGGGATGAACTAGGCATGGTCCAAGGGAATCCAAGTGTACAAATGGGTTACCAAGCAACTTTAAGCTAGGCTGCGTGCTTGCATCTTACCCTTCTTAGAGAAAGAGAAGTAAAGAAAAAAGAGTAAACTAGGCTGTAACATGTTGATCCTACAGACGACGGGGTACCTGCTAGTCTGACTTGTTGGCATTAGGAAGGTAGTCTATTTCTTTAATTGTCAAATATTAAATATAGTGATTTCTCAATTGCTGCTAGAGATAATATGATTAATTTCCACTATAAGAAAAGGAAAGGAAAAAGAACATCAAACAAGATTGATATTCATTTTCAAGTAAACAATCACTCAACTAGATCCAGGACTGTATTGTAATCATTTTATATAGGTTTTCTTACACAAACAACATGATGTGAATGACAAGAAGTTAGAAATAAATGTGAAGCCTACTAAAGATGCATTACACATGGATGTATGCTATATCACTTCATTAAGAACTCCTCATATCCTGTCGATCACCATTGCAGATAATTAGGAATCTAATGTGCTCTTCTTGACTTCCATTTCTAAAAAATGTGCTCTTCTTGAATCTTTATGGGTTATAGCTATAACTTTTCAAGAAGTAATGCCGAATGCTGTCTTCTGGATTTCTGGTAGTCATCACATCAACTCTTTTTTTGATGCGCTGAATAGAGTGCCTCTCCTATGTGCAGGAGAGATAGGATTAAAATAGCAGTTTTAACAACATATTTTCTTTCTATGAGTTTGTGACTGAAACTTTAAGAAATTGTCGATCGCGCAACTGATCTCTGTTTTTCTGTTTCATCCTTTGTTTTTTTCTTTAAAGAAAGTTAATGGTAGTCTTGCTAGCCTATTCCACTCAACATCGATGGAGCAACTTTTTTTTTTTCTTTTAGCATTTTAAGCATCATTTGCTTGATTTAGTGGTATTGTATGTAATCTTAAAAATGATTACAGGTTGAGAGATGGTGGGGAATTTTGCTGCCGAAGATAGTCTCTTATGCATACAAAAATGGCGGCCCTATAATGATGGTCCAGGTGAATTGAACTTCGCAAAGCTGGCTTCATTAAAATAACATAGCTATTAATCCAGATAAATACAATTCCACATATAGAATAATAGGTTATAGCAAAATGCAGCAAAAAAGCTAGATGCTGTAAGTTCTGAACAAATATGATGTGTCACCTGCAAATTCTATGATCTGCCCAGGAAATATGAAAGATCTCCCTCCAAGCCGTACATACGACTTTCATCGAATACGGCTTTCCGCAGAATTCTATATGTATCTATGAGATCGAGTATGGAATTCTGTTTACTCACTTTAAATTGAGTATCCGTTTCCCTCCCTTTCCTGCTAGGATTGGAAATCCTGTAACTAGAACTTTGATGAAGGATCATCAGAGCGTAGATATGTTAATACTCAAACCTTGCGGATATGGAATATCTTTTATACTATTGGAAGTGTGCTTCTTAGTTTCCTATAATGAAACATTTTGGTCTGCAGAGCTAAAGTATGAGTATGAGATGTATTTTGGCAAATATCTGAAATCCTGTTGCTTGTCTTAGTAATGTGGTAGATTGATAACCCTTCGTAACATTGTACCTAAATTGTGAGTAACAAGATGAGTAATTGATAAGTTTAAGTTATATTTTATCCATCCCACAAAGGAGATATGAAAGGTATGACTTTAACGTTCACTGATACTTGATTCCAGTATTTGGTTACAGAGATATTAGATGCAATTAAAGTCATGACATCTCTCATTGTTTTTTTTTTCTGAAACAAAAACAAATGGCAACATATCAAAAAATGGTACAAATTTAGGGTGACCTCCTATTTTACATATGTGAACGCTATATTTAATCAAGATAGTAATTCTTTTAGCTGTTATTGTGGTAAGTTTATATAAAATGCCTTCTTAAGGTTTATATGAAGTTCCATTTAATGCGCTAGAATAATCAGATACACTAAATGCCCTTTGTTTAAACTGTGAGCTCCTACTTATTACTCAAATGCTCCTGAAAACTTAGTAAGAATAGGAGCCTGCATTTACCCCTATTTACTTGATATATTTTTCTCTGTCCCAAACCCTTTCTAATAAATTGCACTACATACTTTCTCCAAGATTTTAAGATTACAGTTAAATTGTGTGATTGCCTCATCTAAAAGCTTATCTTTCAGATAGGGTACATTCTTATTTACTTAATTGTGTTCCCAACTCGTCCGCCCCTTCTCATGGGGTTTGATTCTTTACCTGATCTGATCTCTTCAACTCAAACCTTAAGGTTATGATTGGAGTGGCCCAAGATCTTATAAACTCCTTTGAAAGACGTTAGGCAACTGGCATCCTCTGTGGCAAGATAACATAACCCAACATCCTCTCTCACATGTAACCCTTTGCAATTCATACATGAACTTCAATGCAAACTTATGGAGTGCTAAAACGGGCTTGCCAAAGGTTGCAAAGATAACATAACTCAACATCCTCCCTCACGTGTAACCCTTTGCAATTCATACATGAACTTCAATGCAAACTTAGAGGTGCTAAAACGGGCTTGTCAAAGGTTGGCTTTGATATCATGTTGAATTCTGTAACTACCTCGTCTGAAAGTTTAAGATTTTAGAGAGGCTATATTTTTATTTCCTTAATTATGTCTTCAACAGTAACATATTTAGAGCCCGTTTGGATTGGCTTATTTTAAGTGCTTTTAAGCCATTTTGTAGTGTTTGGATAAAGTAAAAAAAGTGCTTTTAAGCACTTGTTTTTAAGCTAAAATGACAAAAATAAGCTAAAAGCCAAAAGCTAGAAATCCTAACTTATGGCTTAAAAGCTATTTTGGCTTAAAAGCTACTTAAAATAAGCCCATCCAAACGGGCTCATAGAACTTTACCTAATGTTATTTTTGGCTTTGAGATGACATCTTTCAAAAGACTTACTGCTGTTCCATTAAAATTAGAATTATCATCATAAATACCCAGTCCATAGACTTTTTCATCTACCTGGAAGTCAAATACGATTATGACGGAAGTTCTATTTTATACATGATGAAATACTTGGCATTCCATGATTTTCTTTTTACCGTGTTTCAGCTTTTGTATAAGCCAATAGATGTAGATTACACTGAATGGTGAAAATGGGACAGATAGAAAATGAATTTGGTTCATATGGAGATGACAAGGCCTACCTGCATCATTTAGCAAGGATAGCCCGCAGACACCTTGGAGATGATGTTATCCTGTAAGTTGCTGTTATGATCTTGTTTGATCCTCTCGCTTGACTTAAACCTTCTCAAAACTGTAATACGGTTGCTTGATTGCTAGCCTTTCGATATTTTCTTTCCGCGTGCGTGTGTCTGTATGACTGTATTTCCCTGATTAAATATCAAATATCTTTTAAGGTTGGGTTTCAGTCTATTATGCTTTGCTCTGTTTTTCGTTTTGGAGTTTACTGTTATGTATCATTGACTACCTGATGGTTAACAGATATACAACAGATGGAGGTTCAAGAGAAAATCTTAACAAAGGGACTATTCCTGGGGATGCTGTCTTTTCAGGTAGCAGTTAATACCAACCCGTAAAACTTACCAACTCGAAACAAGTAAAATGCTGCTGTCTCTGTCAATGTGGCTAGTGCAGATGATAATCTCTACTTGATAATCAAATTGAATAATAAAATAGGACGTTATGTAGCCTCCTCAAAAAGTTATTTTTTAAATTGGCTGTCTTATATTCTGTAATATTTGTCTTTGGAAGTTCTTGTCAGCTTGGTTCTAATCATGGATTCTCTACTTTAGCTGTCGATTTTACAACTGGAGACGATCCATGGCCCAATTTTAAGTTGCAAAAAGAGTTCAATGCACCAGGGAAATCACCACCTCTTTCTACGTTAGTGTCTTTTTGTTTGCTCCTTTCTTATCAAGCCATCAGCTGCTATAGGTGATGTTGATAGGCTTTGGTATTTAGGGAGTTCTACACTGGCTGGCTCACGCACTGGGGAGAGCATATTGCGAATACTGATGCAACTGTTACAGCAACTTGCTTAGAACGGATCTTGTCAAGAAATGGATCAGCTGTGCTCTACGTGAGTTCCAATCCTGCTGTTTATAGTGACATATCATTACTTGATACCAAGCTGATATATACTCTTTTCTCCTAGATGGCGCATGGTGGAACAAATTTTGGGTTTTATAGTGGTGCAAATACTGGTGCAGACGAGTCTGATTACAAGCCTGATCTTACATCCTATGATTATGTGAGATAATTTGTGATATTTTTCATTGAAGTTTCTTGCTCTATCCTAGTAATAAAACTAAAGACCTTGTCCAGGATGCACCTATCAAAGAATCTGGCGACATTGACAATCCAAAATACCAAGGTGTACTAATCTGAATATATACCTGTTCTCTTGTTGTAATTTTATCATGGCAAAGCTTTTCCTTGCCATCTGTTATCTTATTATGGAACCTTTTCTTTGAAGTTTTTGTTTATCTTTTGTTTGTCCCTTTCCATGGAACTTCCTACTGGTGGAAGGTCAGAATTTTTCAAGATTAGAGGATTGAGGGGGTATAAGACCTTTATCTTTTCAGTCTGGACTCTTTTTCCTGATTTTCTTTTCTTCTTTACTTTTTTCCTTGGGAGGGGGGAGGGTGTATTGTTTGTTAAATAGAAGGAAGAAACCCTTTTAATTCCATGGACAAAGAAAAAGTCCTGGAAAGTGAATGATGACTATTTTTGCTCTCTCAAATGATCAAATTGTTTTATATCTCATCAAGTGTTTCCTCTTAGTAGTGTAACCAAAGATCAGAAGACTTGACAGAAGTATTTCTTTGCATTCCATTCCCCTGTTCAGTGCACTCCCGGTAAATTGTGTGACATATCCTACCTATGTGAGAAAGATTAAGAATCAGTCCATTGTGTAATGCTACACTATGAACTTGCAAGAGAAATATGGCATATATGCCTCACTTTATTGGCTTAACTAGAGTATGTCACTTGTGAGAGGACTCAAAAGGTCCAAATCATAACTTCCTTAGAACATTGTTTGGAGCAAAGATGGAAAAAATAGTAGATGTCTCTTTAGAATATTTGGGCTCAGTGACACCCACCCATGTGGCCTAGCCGTCAATGAAGTGGGATGAGAACCATCGGAGCTGCGGTTCAAATCCCAGCAAGGCAACAATTGTGAGGTGATTTATTCCCTTCTGCTTAAGTCTTGGCGGGCAGAGTTACCAGGCACCGCGCTGGTTGGAGTTAATAGGTAACTGGTGGAATAGTCTAAATGCACATAAATTGGTCAGGACGCCATTGTTATACAACAACAACAACAACATATCCAGTATATTCCCACATGTGGACATGACATAAAATAAAAATAAAAAGATTTTTTGGGCTCGTTGCAGCTTCAACTTTTGTCCATAAATCTGAAGTATGAACCAGTTCTCTGTCTTACTTAAGTGATCAAAACCATATCACTTTAATGAAATGCAAAATTCAGTTGTAAGCTTTAATCATTTTCTAACCTTATGAGAATATTTTCCATCTCCAACTAATTGGTTAAAGATACTTTTGTAAGCTACCTCATTATCTTTCATTAATCAACTTTCAGCTCTTCGGAGGGTGATTGCTAAATATACTGCAGGGCCTCTTGCCTCAGTTCCTCCCAATAATGAAAAGAAAGCATATGGCCTCATTAAGTTGCAGAAGACTAAATCTCTGTTCAACATAATTGATACCAAATACTTTGATGGTGTCACTGAATCTGAAGACCCACTTGCAATGGAGTCTTTGGGCCAGGTATAACATACTCTTATCATGTATGCATGTTTCATAGTTCTGAGTTATTAAAGTGCCTGATTGATATGATCCACCTATTTTAATGTTTTTTCTTGTTCAGATGTTTGGCTTCGTGTTTTATGTTTCTGATTACAAAGCAAAAGCTAATGGAAGTTTGTTGTTCATACCAAAGGTAAGTGGTTTTGTCATATAACTGGAAAGATCCTTCTCAAAAAAAAAAAAAAAAAATGGAAAGTTTCCGTTATGTCTGTCTGTTTCCTTATTTCATTTAATTAGTACTGGTAAAAGGTTTTCAGTTAAACAACCGTAGTTCTTTTCTACTTCCACTTTGGAGATTCACTGATGTGAATAGAGCTATCCCTTTGTGTCTCATTGGTGCAGGTATTAACTGAATTTCATCTCCTTACTAAGAAGCTATATCTCTGTCCAATTGAATAATATCTTCAATATACTTTGGCCATCGTGTAATATGTCAGCTAGCTCAGCCTAGCCGATTGCTGGGGCTTACCCGTGTGTTAACCTTTTTGGGTTTTGGTCTGAGCTTGTCAATTTTTTCTTTCGAAAGGAAATGAAATTTGATTTACTGCTATGTCTTTTTTGCGCTTATGCCACTGTTATTGTACAAAAGAGTGTCTTAATATAATTTTGCAGGTGCGTGACAGGGGGCAAGTATTCATTTCATGCCCTTCAGACAACAATGAAGAAATTCCAAAATATGTAGGCACTATAGCTAGATGGTCAAATACTCCAATCAGGCTTCCTCATACTCAATGTTCTTCCGGTAGCAAAATTTATATACTGGTACGTAGTACTCGCTGTTTGTCATGTCTAGCAATGCTTTTGAGTTATGATGTGATCCTTTCTGGAGATACACCTTACTATGAATTCCGAAGATGGAAGTTTTCGTTGATTTTGATAAAATTTTAAGCAACTTCTTTCTGAAAATTAAGGGCATGGATCACAATTACTGCTTCTACTTCTCTTTTTTACAGGGTTGTAATGAAAATAGGGTGTTCCTGTTTAGAAATGGTATACATTAAAGAAGAAGTTACAAAGTGCACTTCATATATATAGTTTTTGTTCAATCACTAAATGCATATTCTTGTGTGCTCCTAATATAAAACAGAACAACAACACGGTCCGCAGGACTCGTAAGAATGCCTTTTATGTACATATTCAGTATTTCCTTTTTATTGCCAACTTGTGCTCTTCTGCTTTGATATTCCCATATTATGAAAATATATGAGGAATAAAAATAGGGTGAAATACTTTATTACTTCCTGACATTCCTCATCTTAGCACCTTTCTTGTTAAACTTTTTCTTGAATCAATTTACCCCTAAACTCTTAAAAACCAGCTTTTGCACAGCTCTCCCTAAGTTTTCAGTGAAGTGGTTGACAGAAGAAAGTCCTTTTCATTTCTATATCTTCTCCTTCTTGGTGTCCTCAACGTGTTCCCAAGTGTATTCTACTAACAGAACAACAAAAAGGAAAAGGATCTATTTTCAAAAAATTCTGTTGTCTTTGTTGAAACTTGTAAGATAAATTAATATGAGGGATCCTACTTCCAGTAATTTTTTTAGTAGTATTTTCTTTCGTTCCCAAATTTCCCTATTTATTGCTTTCCTGCTTTCTACACATTTGTTCCTTATGTTTAGTGGTTGTGAAGCAAAAAGAAAGGAAGAAAAAGGGGAATGGATGAACAAACAAAATCCACTAATTGTTTGTGGAAAAAGATTCCAGCTAGGGCAGGGAGTTGGGGACGGGGTTTGAGAAGGATTTATGGAAAAAGAAGAAAATAAAGGAAAACAGAAAGAAAGGAATCTAAAAAAGAGGATGGGGGGGGGGGGGTGTGGGAGCACAGTATTGGGGAAAGGAGGAAGAGGGGAAGGGGAGATGAAGCAATGAAAAGAACAAGAAGAAACAAGAGGGAGTAGAGGCTGGGTATAGGGGTTGGGGAATGAGAAAAAAGAAAAGAGGAAATGTTTGGTCCATAACATGGAATGATAACCTTTACTGTTCAACTATACAGTAAGAGAACTCAAACGAAAAGGAGCAACTGCATAGTTTCTGTGACGGGCATTTCTCCGAAAAGGAAAAAGGAAAAAAGAAAATGCACTAACCGTATCATTCTCAATAGGAATTGCCATATCCAGTAGTTTGTTCACTTTTCAGTTCGCTACTCATGAATGATGAAAGTAAATCTCATCTTTCTAAACTATGATTATTTTTGTTTTACAGGTAGAAAATATGGGGCGTATAAACTATGGGCAATATATCTTTGACAAGAAGGTAAGTTAAGAGTTGATCTGCATTAACTTCTGTTGTCCTCTGAGGTATTGAGGGCACATTTTGTACATGAATTCTGGAAAGCAGTTCTAAACTAGTACGTCTGCTTAAATGGAAGTCTTTAGACTGAATAGTCATCATAAAAGTCTGGTAGATACTTCTTCAAAGGTAAGATTAGTTAGACTAGCAAGAATTTGATCTCGAACTAATAGAATCTTGGAAAAATTGGCCTTTTTTTTTTGAACTGATAACATTTGTATATATTAATCAAATCAGTACATAGGTTGTACTGAAAACCATATTTACAGGTAAGTGCAATAAGAGAGCTGGTATGCAATCCTAGCAAGACCCTAGAATATCTAAGATTGACACAGTATCTTCTGTGTAAATCTGTTTACACCAAAAACAAAAGAGTAGAACACAATTAAGCTTGATCTTCTGCACTGAGTTGCTTCTGTCCTCAAAACATCTAGAATTCCTCTCTTTCCAGACTGTCCACCAGATGCATGCTGGGACAGTCCTCCATCTATCTCTGTTTGTTGCTTCAGCTCCAGCTTCATCCCAACTGAAAAGAACTTCAGTAATACTACAAGGCATTGTCCATGAGATGCCCCTGAGACTAATAAATTGACGTTGGATCTAACTTGACTCAAAAATCTAACTCATGAGGCGAGAATTGTCCAAGACCATATAACGAGATTATAACCCATACCTCAACAAATGTTGGACTCTTAACACCCCCTGTACGTCCAGGTTGGACATCTAGAGTGTGGATGACATAACATAGGAGCAACATTGAGTAACCCATTGTTAGGAATGGACCTGGCTTTGGTACCATGTTAAGAAAATGGACCTGGGTATAAGTATAACTCAACCCCTAAGGGGTAGCTCGTGAGGCGAGCATTGTCCAAGATCATATAAGGATATTGCAGTTCATACCCTCAACTAATGTGAGACTATATAAAACCATATACTTTACAAGAATAATGTAGTGTTTTTGCCATTCCTCTATAGGTTCACTTGATTCAGCACATTTTCCTGTCATTTATTAGTTTTAGCAAGTTAACATTGTTTTTTCCCTTCTCCTTTTTTGGTTTCCCCTCTACTCTTTTCTGTCTTCTTCCTCAATCACAATGGTGTAAACTGTGTACTTGCTTTGCAGGGTATACTGTCTCCTGTTTATTTAGATGGCGAGCCGCTGCATAAGTGGAAAATGTTGCCTATTCCTTTTCACAACCTGAATGAGGATCAACAGATTAATTCTGTTATTTCATACACCAACCTTGGAAATTCTGTGCGGAAGAATCTGAAAAATAGAATAAGTAAGTTTGGATTCAGTAATAAAACTTTGTGTGCAAGTGGTCATACAGTTGGTTGATTCATCAGAGTGCAAGAGTATAGGGGATAGTGACACTATTCATTCTTTCGCAGATTATCATCCAGAGCCAGCTTTCTATGCTGGTCATCTTACAGTTGATGAAGTGAAAGACACTTTTTTGTCATTTCGTGGCTGGAGTAAAGGGGTTGCATTTATCAATGGATATAATATAGGAAGATTTTGGCCGGTAAAATTTGCTTTTTTATTTCTGTAGGTATTTCTTTTTAGTGGTCAGATAATAAAATCCTGAAATTCTTTCATTTCTGAAATCGGAATTTTCTATTTGGCTCTTTGCAGTCCTTTGGGCCACAGTGTAACCTTTATGTTCCCGCTCCATTACTGCACAAAGGGAAAAACCTCTTGGTATGTCATTGAGAAGTTATGGTATTTATCATGCGTTTCTTCTTTTTTTCTCGTATTAAAGGAAGAATTTGGTGGTAGATAGTAGTTTATTATTGGATTTTTCTGCGGGAAGCAAATTGAATTTCCAGATTGAACCTGCTTTGTTTTCCGACATTATTATTTTAGACTAATTACTAATTTTTTCAGGGTCCTCTATCTTTTAGATGTTAGATGAATAAACCTCGAATAGTTCTCATGCAATTACATTTCTTGTCTTACATCTAGGTCATTCTTGAGTTAGAGGTTCCAAATGCTGAGTTGTTTGTGACCTCAGTTGACCAACCGGATTTCACATGTGGTTCCGCAAATTCAAAAGTGCATCAAATCTGACATCATCATGTCTTTGCCAAACCTGGGATGTTTGATTATCTTCATCTTATTAGCTAATACTGTGTCCATGCACGAGGATGTGTACTGGAAACAATGGAAAGTTGGAGCACCTGAGTTTGGACCAAGCATCTTTTGGTTGTTGAGTGTTGTATCATGTATGTGAATAGTTTGTAACTCTTAACTTCCCACGCAGTATATTATTTTATCGTGGTGAAACACAACCTTCTTTCCCAAAATGTGGGTGGAGATTGAATGTGTTGAGATGTTGAATCTTCGTAAGGAATAATGTGTCTGGTTACAATTTTGATCAGACCCTGTTTGAGTTCTTCACCCGTTAGAAATTACTTGTTCGAAGGAAACAACCTCTTGCAGAAATGCAGGGTAAGGCTGCGTGCTATAGACCCTTATGGTCCGGCCCTTCCATGGACCCTGTGCATAGCGGGAGCTTAACGCACTGGGCTAAAAAGATTGTTAGCATCTTGGCTTTTGGTCAAAAATGTTTGATGAATAACTCAGGCAGTGGGTAGAGTTTCAACCTTAACTTACATATTCTGGATGCACCATCATAATTTATAGAATCAGATAGTAGCAGTAAAGCCACAAATATTCTTTATTCATACGCCACAATACATTCATATACTATAGAACAAAGTGATGACAAAAACTTCGCTTCAAAAATTCCTACATCCATTTGTACAGAACAATCCAAGACTCGTATGTGAGCTACTTGATCAATTATGTATTTTATCCAACTAGCAACACCACTATTCTATAACTTACTGAAATACATTATATTGAAAGAAAAGGATCAGTAGATGAAATGGGAATCACTAGCTCTACACCATTCTTCAGAGAGAGCTTCATTTTGATGAGTGCTGAGAAGCAGTTTTTGCTTCTTGTTTGGATCCTGAAATGGCAGCAGTTGCTGCAGCAGTCATAGCAGCAGCAGCTGCACCTACTTTTATACCTCCTGCAACTTTAACAGCACCGCCAATTTTTGCAAATGCAGCAATTCCTCCAACAAGGATGGCCCTCACGGCAACTGCTGGTTTTACCTCCATATTATTTTGTCTTCCTATATGAAACAGAGCAGACTATTAAAGCTCAAGATGTAAAAACAAAACATTGATCTTGTTAAAGTAACAAAGAAAGTTACTAAAAGACATTCCCAGAAATATTTGCACGTATAATATTGTGGTTAGTTTCTGTAAGCTCAGTATTTTTTTTTTGGCTGAATACATACGGAGACACTTAAAGTTGGCACGATTTTACATTTAGACGCCTGAACTTAGGGGTGTTCCTAATGAGCACGTACATTACACGAACTTTGTTCCAATTAGACAATCTTTTGACAATTAGTAAAACTTACAAAATAAAATGAGGACGTATATCTTTTTGAGTCAAAAAAGAGAGGAAAAACTATGTTAAATCTATTTAATAAACAAAATAAAAATAACATTCTCAAACAGAAAAGAAAAATTTAAGTTACACCCAATCAGGAAAGAGCACATTTTAAAAAAATGAGAAATTGTTGTTTTGGAAATTAGTGTTCTTGGTGTTCTTCATTATCTTCATGTGTGTTCTTGTTCCAACCAAGATTTTAATCCAAACTTTTAAGAGAAACTTCTCCAAATTTGTTATAACTTCCGCTAAAGATTCCCGACGACGACCCGAAGGCAACCCCAACACTAATTTCACAAACTTTCATCAAATCAAGTAACCCATTTTAAACCTTCAAGCTTTATAAGGCCCCCATTAATGGTGTTTTGTTGAAATGAAGAACTCGGACTCATTTCAGTTTTAATCAATAGGGGGCTGCTCCTGGAGAAGTGTGACGGCTGGAGATGGGTGGGGTGAAGAAGAAGGGTTCGGCGATGGGGGTTAGAGAGGAGGGTGGCGGAGGATTTGGTGGTGAGGAGGGGGGAGCTTGGCGGCAGCTGGTTGTTTGGAGAAGGGCTGGCGGTTGCTTTTTGGTGTGAAGAAGAGGGGTTGGTAAAGGGTGTGGGCAGCTGTGGTATGGTGAAAGTGGAGGAGGCAATGGTAGAAATGGTGGTGGACATAAAGAAGAAAAGGAAAATAAAAAAGCCAAATTTTTTGTTTTTTTTATTTTTTGGGCTCTTCACGCGCCTATGTTGGGTGAAACTCACTCTATGTGCCAACTCAGCAAGACGTGCCTAATTGGAACAAAGTTCATGTAACATACGTGCTCATTAGGAACACCCTAAGTTCAGATGTCTAAATGAAAAATCGTGCCAACTTTAACAGTCTCCATATGTATTCAGCCCTTTTTTTTTCTTTCCCTCTACTACATGAATTATCCAATTTCACTTGCCAGATGCCATGGGATGGAATAACAATTCAACTTTGCAAAAGCTACTCAAGAATGTCATTTTCTTGAGAATATATAAGTATATTTTGCTTGACCATAGATAATAAAGATTCGTAATATTGATTTTTATGTAAATAGAGCAGTTGAGAAATGATCCAAACCTAAGCCTTCAATCTTTTCAAAATCTCAAAGATTACACCTCCTTTTTGCTTCAGCCAAAATTTTAGTATGTGTAATGATCAATTAATTGTATATACTTTGTCTTTTGGGGAGTTTGGGAATTGGGGACAGCATGAATTGAATGCAAGACCACTAGTGTAAAACGTCTTACGAACACCTCGCTCAGCGCCTCTCTTTCCCTTGTGGCTGTTGACACACTAGATTTTAACCTTTCTTCTATGCAGTGTAGCATTTCCCTTAATGTAATAAGTTAATTTTTTTTTTATTATATTCAACAAAAAAAAATTCTCTGTAATTATCTATCTATGAGTACTGTCATGGGCGGCTTTCCAGCCATGCCCTATGACCCCTTGGGCGCGCCCCGTGGCGTCCTAGCAAACCTCCCAATGCCTAGCGCCACGGACGGCCCCGTGGTCTTGGCCGCGCCAAGTGACAAGCGCGCAGGTGCCTCTGTCGCCCCGCCGATATCCCTCGCGAGCGCCAAGCCGCAGGCAGAAGCCAACAGCGCCGCGCGCGCAGACAACGCCGCGCGCGCAGACCGTGATGCCAAAGACACTGCTGCTGACAACGGACCTGCTGCTGCCTTATAGAAAACTAAGTCATTTCATTGTAAATATAGAGTAGTTTTATTTCATGTACTTCCATTATGTTTCTCTAGCTTAATCAAGTCTAGTCTTGTAACTTTGGATTATTTTTTTTAAGTACTATTAGGGGGGATCAAGCAATCAAAACTTTCTAGCAAGCAAGCAATTCTCTGTACTGGTGTCTCTCCCCCTCGACACCGCGTTGCTTTTCTGTAATAGCTTTCATTAATGCAATCAAGCTTTCTTTCATTCTGAATTCTCATTTCTGTTCTCTCAATTGCTCTTGACATTGGTTTTCCCGTACGGCACTGACAATCTCGTCTAGCGTACGGAGGGGACCTCAGTTGGCGGACAGCAACTGCACTGACATCAGTTGCCTAGACTTACGTCGCCCTTCCAAGGAATCTCAGGAAGGCGCCGCGTAACTGTACATATAAATGTCCCACCTGGTAGTAAACTTCGCCAAGTATCTAATTGAAGTTGGTGTACCCCCTTATTTGTTTGCACTTCACGGACGTTTGAGTCCGAATAATTCGGACGTCATACCATTAGTAGCTTGTTTGGTCAAGCTTTTTTTTGGGCCAAAAATATCTTCTTTTTTCAGGAAATTTTATCTCATATAGCAAAACTTTACACCCTATTTTATTGTAAATAAAAACCCTTTTAAATTATTATTTTCTATAGTTACCTTTTAGATTTTATAGCAAAATATGTATTTAAGATCGGAAGAGC